TATGATAATCGCGCGGACATCTAGAATGAGAATACCATGGACCAGCTGAGGTTTATGGGATGTAAAGATGTAAATGGGAACAACACCGTTTGATGATGATGAATTATGATTATGATGATGATGATGATGATGATGATGATTATGATGATGATATGTCATGCTTGTGGTCAGTATTATGATGATATGATTTTACGGCTGGGCCATCAATAGTACGGGTATAACCATTAGCTCACGGGATCTGATTAAAATATACTTGGGCATCAGATTGGGATATTAGTATGGGATCAATGCATGATTTTCCTACGAACCATTCTGAACTATGAGAGTTGTTTTTACCATCCCAAAATTGTAGGTTCCTGGCAATGAACAAGACAATAGATTCTTAGATAATCTGAGATATATCTACAATAAACATCCAGAAACCCGAGTTATATGCTAGGAATATCTAGTAATCAATCAACCAACTTTGCGGCTTTAGCGAAACTTAGCTGACTGGAACACCACTGGAGCTATACCCAGCTCTAGGCCCATGCCGGGCCATGCGAAACCTTCAGCTCTCGTCTTCGCTCAAGCAGCTGCCGTTCCTCCTCATCAAAGGGGCAGTCCTGGCGCCGTGGGAATGGATGGGGAGTCATTAGATTTTTTCCCACAGAAATATCTACCATAAATGACCCAACAACAAACCCATAAAATACGTGTTAAAAACCAATGAAATACCCAACAATAAACCATCCCCTACCAATAATGACTGGGTATTAACCATCAAGTATTAGCCATTGGAAACATGAATGCCTGGATTCACTCAGCCTGATCACCGGGGCTACGACTCTGCTACCAAAAAGGGTAGCCCCCAATCAAACAGCCCAGTTCGGTTTATGAATCTGGGGTTGACATTACAGATCTTTGCAGGAAGAAACATAGGAGTTTATCAAATCAAACCGAAACGGTGATTTGACATGATTTACCCTCTGGTTATGTCAACATAGCTATTGAAAATGGTGATTTATAGTGGATTTACCCATTGAAAATGGTGATTTTCTAAGGTTATGTTAGTTTACCAGAGGGTAATCAACAAACATGCCGAACAAATAAAAACATATAAAAACAGTAGCCACAAACATGTGGGCTTAAAAGGCAGAAAGCGGCGTCAAAGCCGAAACAGCCCACTGACTCCAGCACCCCAGGATCTTTGTGGAAAAGATCCAGCAACTATACCGAACATTTTGCAGTATGCCCTCCGGGAATCAAACATGGCTGGGAATTTCCCCATACATGGGCATTTCAATGGATATTCTAATATTCTGTAACTGGTGGATTTCGAGCAAACAATGAGGGTACTTGAATATTCCGGGTATTTCCACTGATGTCCGCTGCCAACCTAATCAATGATAGAAGTAACAAGTATCATCAAATGATCCATGTATTCTAGACATATCATCCATTATATAATTCAATGAAAAGAATCATGTGGTTGGGAAACTCGATTCGAAGCCCCAACTGGCTCCCCATGGCTCATATGGAATATGGTCAGAATATGGATACCCTTAGCTGCTAAGCTCACCACTGGATAGGCATAAACCATATAGTTAAAATCATGCACATTGCCACATGGCCCAAGCCTCCTCCAATGTTTCTGCATCTGTGGGCACCTGTAGCAATGCTATAGCAATGGACTGCTTGATATGCAGGCCTGGAGGTACCACCAAAAAAAAA